AGACCTGCTCCACCAAACTATTGGAACTTACATCTCTTGAGCTGGGGACTGTTGGACCTTGTCATCTGGCTGACTGTTGGTGACCTGCCTTGCTGTTTGCTGCCTGTGGCCAGATAGCCTGAATTGTTCTGCAGAGGACTACCTGTCAGCCCCTCAAGACTTGAAGGGCTGCCAGTGTCTCACAGCCATCTCACAGAAGTGAGTTGCATTGAGCCATTTGTACTGCTTTATAGATTAACCATTTATTTCTTGTGTGATATATGTATGTATAAAATCATTAGCATTCTGGCTTTGTTTCTATAGAGAACCCTGTCTAACATACCTGTATTTAGACCTCTACAAATGTCCTTTGCCACCTAGTTATTTCCTCTATTTCCTTGTACTTTCCTCTTGTCCCACTATAATGTTTGGCCTTCATTCAGGTTTCAGAAATTCCTCTTGGCTACCTTGCCCTTGATCAAGCCCCACCAGGCATCTTACACACTTCCTCTCCATTGATTTTAGATCACTTGGTGTTACCTTGTTTCTAGGTTTGTTAACACCTCCTTCCTTACCCCCACATCCCCCCTTTCCCAGGCCCTCCCCTACAGAACCTTTAGTCCATTGTTTTCTCCTTGGGATTGTTTACCCCACTTTTCTTATATAGATAGACATGCATAGGCAATAATAAGCACAAAAACAAAACAAAGCAAAACAGTAACCAAAAAAACAAACTAAAACAAAACCCAATGGCACAAAAAAAGGAAAGCCTACCAATAGTTCCAGGTCTGTTTGTTGACCTTTAGGAGTGTTTTGCAGTCGAATCAGTTGGGGTGCCCCACCCTGGCCCCAAAGTCTATTTTTGGTATTCCCCAGGGACTTCATTGCTTTGTTCCCCTTGCCACTTGTTGCACCCACTTCGTGTTCCACCCGTGTGATGGGGTCAGACCAGGCACAATGCCTGAATTGTGCCTCCAGTGCCAATTTGTTCTAAACAAAATAAGCATTGTGGATGTTATTTCACTGAATTTAATGAATTTATCTGTTTGTTCCCTGCTTGTTCAAAATCCAAGAGGGCTAATTCTTTAGGTCATTTTGTAGAGCTAAAAAACGATGACCTGATGATGCTGTTAGTTAGATTTGGGGCTACTAATGGGAAGATTGAAAACCATCAATTGCACCATGGGAGCAAGATAGCTTGATCTCTCCCATAAAGGTGTATAGTCCCTAAATCCTGTGTAGGGCGGCTATGTGTCAGAATTAACTCAATGGCTGTTGTTTCTTTATTTTTGGTTGTAGATCTGAAAATGAATAATATTTTGTATCAGCAATAAAATAACCATTCTCTTTACTATATTGGATGTTATATTTTTATATAAAATAGATGAGCCATGAGTACATTAGAAAAATGTAATCAATGTACATATGCTATATGCTGATCTATTAAGCAAAATTGTCACAAAAATTAAAGATACAAATTGGTGACATAAGTCAAACAATAATTTAAACATGATCAATGTTTTCTCAGATACTTTCCAAAATGTGTTATTATAATTCCACTTTTTATTGTGGTAAAAATTGATGTAGTATAACATTTCCCAATGCAATAATGTCCATGTTTATAATTCAGTGACTAAATATATTTACCATCTGCACAACCATCACCACTACACTCTACTGATTTTTCTATTGACAGAAACAGAAACCCAGTGTTTTCTGTGCCTGGATTTCTGACACACAGAAATAGTAATAAAATGAATTATTGCTACTTTTAATTACTGTGTTTGTGGTAGCCTCATAAGTACTAATACACATTCAGTGAGGATGTTGCAACAGTTTTCACAGAACAGTATAATGAATATGTAAATTAGGTTATAGATTTTCCTCATAATCTTAAGATTCTTTATAATTGCACTAAAACTAATATAAATATCACAACACATGAATTATGGAAAATATACAGACTTGAGAAAATGTAGACCCATATTTTAAAAAAATCATACTATTGCAATACATAATGCATTTAGGAAGCAGGATATCTAAGGATGAAAATCTAGATTTTGAGGATTCCAATTCTGATTTCCACTATCCATATATGTCATTGATGTCAAATAAGTGAGAATAGAAATAGGAACTTACCATTTCTAAAATAAGAAACTGCTTATATAAGGACATGCTCAACAAACCTACCCCTCACCTTTCTTTGCTCCATCTGTTTATATTAAATTTCTTTTTTTATTATTAAAAATGCTATGTGAACAAATATAATGGGCTCAAGCAGATGAACAATTATGGGGATGACATAGCACCAGGCAGTGCTATCTTCTGTTGAACATAGAGGCGCTATTTGACAGAGGCTGCTTCACAGCACCGAACAAAACCATACATTCATAGATGACCAGCGTGGTTGCTTATTATAACAAAGAAGTCCTGGTGGTGTAGTGAGGTACATGCTGGTTTGCTAACCAAAATGTCAGTGGTTCAAAACTACCAGCTACTGCTTAGGAGAAATGAAGCTTCTTCTCCTGTAAAGAGTCAGTCTCAGAAACCCATAGTGACAATTTTAATCTCTCCTATAAGATTGCTATGAGTCAGAATCTACTGGATGACAGTGACTTTTTTGGGGGGTGTTTGTTGTAGCAAAGGGATTGTTTCAAACACTCTTAGAATTATATTTCTTGTTGTTGCATGTTATCAAGTTGATTATAAATCATTGTGACTTTATGAGACAGAGGGGGACTGCCTCATAGGGTTTTCTACATACATTTTCTTTGTGGACAATGATAGTGAGACCTTTCTCCAGAAGAGCATCTAGGTGGGCCCCAAATGCAACCTGAACTCTTAACTCTGTGTTACAGGGTTCCTTAAGAATTCTGTGCTAAAAAAAAAAAAAAGAATCCAGTGCTGCCATGGTTAAATCTACTATATATTAAAAGATAACATTGAATCAAACTTGTTTAGTCTGTCCCAACTCACAGCAAATCATATATAAAAGATGTAGTAGGTTTAAATGGTACAATGATGTCATTTTATGATGGAAGACACCTGTCGTTTGTTAACCTGAATAAACCAAAAGCGTACAGTTGTGTATTTTCTCCTGTAATAAGAATTTACTTGAATCTATCCATTGCTTAAATTTTTTATTGTTTTATCCCCCTGTTGTTAGGCATCCTTGGGTCAGTTTCAACTCATAGTGATAGGATGTGTAACAGAATAACACACTTGTAACATCCCATAGTTGTTAGGCTGAGCCCACTGTTGTCTCATCCACTCTTGTTGAGGGCATTCCTCTGTCCACGGCTCCTCTCATCTACTGCTCATGGGATCCTTCTCCAGGCACTGGTCCCTCTCAATAATCCGTTCAAAGAATGTGCTAATGAGCATTTGCTTTGTACATTTTCGACTACAGAATTGCTTGTTCTACCAGTACAAGATAATTGCAGTATTCTTCACCAATATCATGACTCAAATGAATCAATTCATCTGTTTTCCTCCTTACTCATTATCCTGCCTTCACATGCATATGAGCTGACTGAAAGCACAATGGCTTGGGTCAGGCACGATAAATCCTCGAAGTGATATCCTTGCCCTTCAGCACCTACAGTATGTATGCACCTGATTCGCAATGCAATATGACATTTGATTTTCTGCCTGCTGTTTCCATAAGCACTGATTGTACACCTAAGTATAACAAAATCCTTGACAACTTCAATCTTTTTCCATTTATGATGACATTGTCTATTGGTCCTGTTGTATAGAATTTTGTTTTCTTTACATTGATTTGAAACCCACACTGATAGCTGCAATCTTTGATCTTTATCAGCAAATGCTTAAAGTCCTCCTCACTTTCAGCAAGTAAAGTCATGTCATCTGCATCTCTTGACTTATTCATAAGCCTTAATCCAACCCTGACCTACCTTATTCTTCAAATAGTCCAGTTTCTCAGATTACTTGTTCAATATACAGACTAAGTATGGTGAAATGATGAAGACCTGCTGCAAACCTTTAAGATTTTAAAACACACTTTTATAATTCTAAAGCATACAGTATTTCTTTGTTTGATACAAACAACTGCCTCTTGATCTATGTACATGTTCTGCATGAGTGCAATGAAGTGTTCTGGGATTCCCAGATTGCTATCTATAGTTTTTATGATCTACATAGTCAAATGCCTGTGTAAAGTCAATAAAACAGAAATGAACATCTTTATGTTATTCTCTGCTTTCAGACAAGATCCACCTGATGTCAGCCATATCCCTTATTATAAATACTCTTCTGAACCCAGCTTGAATTTCAAGCACTTCCATGTCAATGTACTATTGCAACAGCTATTGAATTATTTTCGACAAAATTTTACTTGCATGTGATATAAATTATATTATTTATTAATTTCTGCATTGTGTTGGGTCACATTTCTTTGAAATGGGCACAACGTGATTCTCTTTCAGTTGGTTGACTAGGTAATTCTCTCTCAAATTTCTCTGTGTAGACTAGTGATCACTTCCAATGCTGTATTGTCTTGTTGAAACATTTGCATTGGAATTCCCTCAATACCTCCAATATATATATTGCTAATGCCTTCAGTGCAGTTTGGACCTCTTCCTTCACTATCAGCAGTTCTTGAAAATATGCCGTCTCTTGAAATAGTTGAATGCTCAGCAGTTCTTTTTGGTATCGTGCCTCTTTTTATTCCTTCTATCTTCTTTTGATGACTCCTGCGTGGTTCATGATTTTACCCTAAAACTCTTACAATGTTGTAATTCATGTAAAGTATAATGAAATATACCTAGATGTAGAAGTCAAAATGGAAGACCATATTCAGTGTGTCCCACACTGGAAGAACTGAATTTTCCATCAATATATGAAATGAATGAGAAAACAAGTATACAAATAATTTTTACTTTTAAACCTCGTGGTTTCGTATAAGTGTTTGAGCAAAACCAAGTAAGTATTGGATGAATACGTTGAAGAGTAACTAAAAGAGTGTAGAGAAAAGCAGAGCAGGAAGATACTCAGGCAATTTACTCTCCTGACTTGTCCTTCCCTATGACCTTCATGAAGGCTCTGGCTACTTCTCTGTTGCGGAGGCTATAGATGAGAGGGTTCAACATGGGAGTGAGAATTGTATAAAAGGCTGATACCATCTTGTCTTGAGTTGGTGAACGATCCGAAGTGGGCCGCATATAAATAAACATAGCTGCCCCGTAGTACATTCCTACTACCATAAGGTGGGAGGAACAGGTGGCAAAAGCCTTGCGACGATTTTCCCCAGATCCCATGCTAATGACAGCCAGAAGGACACGGGTATAGGAAGCCAAAATGACTGCTACAGGGAACAGAAGCATAATTACACAGCAGATAAATATCATCCTTTCAAATGCTGACGTATCTGTGCATGAGAGCGTGAGAAGGGCAGGGACATCACAGAAGAAGTGGGGTATTTCCCGAGCAGCACAGTATGAAAAGGACAAGGCGACCACAACTTCAATCACACCATCAAAAGAACCAAGAAGCCAGGAAGAGGCAGCCATGAGACCACAGATTTTCGGGCTCATGAGAACTGGGTATCTTAATGGGTGACAAATGGCAACATAGCGGTCATAGGCCATAACTGCCAAGAGGAAGCATTCGGCTCCAAGCAGGGACACATAGAAAAATATCTGGGTTCCACAACCTGCCACAGATATGAATTTCTTGCCTGACAAGTAGTTGAAGGCCATTTTAGGTACTGTGGTGCAAATGAGCATGAGGTCCATGAGAGAGAGTTGACTGAGGAGGAAGTACATGGGGGTGTGAAGCTGGGAGTCCAGGTAGATCAGGAGAACCATGGCAGTGTTTCCCATGAAGGCCACAGCAAAGATGCCCAGGACCAGAGCGAAGAGGAAAGTGTGGGTGGGGCTGTGGTCAAATATTCCAAGAAGGATGAATTCAGACTTGAAAGTCTGATTCATCAAATCCATCATGAAAAAGTTCACTGTGGAGAATGAAACATGTAAGAAATGATTAGGATAAGATAATGAAAATATAAAGAGCATTATTGTTCGTTAACAATACCTACAATATTGTATAAGTATGGGGAAAGTTTTCTCATGTAATTAATTTTCTTATTTGGTGAACAGAGATAATAGGCTTATTTTTAAGTTTGATGTGACTTTCAAATGTAAAATGTAAATAATACATTTGGTTCATAGAAAACAGAGTTTCTTAAGATCGCTACAATCTAATTTGAACAATTCAACTAAAACATTGTGTACCTATTTTTTTAAACCATTACTCTGACATGTGACGCTTCATAAATTACTGGCATGCCAATGACATTTTTGTTATGTTAGAAGTGCAACTGGTATTTGGATTCAGGCTTTGAAAACTAATATTCCGTATAGCTAAGCCCAAATTATTGATAGTCTGCATTGTATTAGGCCAAAATTCAGATTTAAAACACAATTTAATTACATAATGTTTTCATTATTTTACACTAATTTCCCTGGCAAATATTATCTAATTGCCATTTAAAATATCTCATTGTACTAGAATTAAAGATAAACTTTTTTCATTTGTCAAGAAATTAAGTATGAAAAATTTTAGGTATGATATTTGATATTGCTTCATGCAACATCACTTCAAACAATCGGTACTATACTCTGATGTGGTTGGATCATCTTTTTTTTTTTTTTGGTAATTCTTATTATGATATACTCTATATCTCTAAATGACTGCTAGAAGTTTGAAATGGCAAAAATTTTAATGAAAATCTGGAGTGGTTGGCATTTGTTTTAAATGTGGACAGATTACATAAATTATATTTAAGAAAAATCAAACTATCTATGGTCTTAAAACCGTTTTTCCATTCTTAATTATTTCCCATCTATTAAAAATTAGTAAATGCACTTACTTATTCTGTTAGATTGTCATAGTTATTTTTTCTCTTTTCTTCCCCTTTCTTATATACATGTTTCCCAACATTGCTTTTCTACATGAATCCCATGACATCATCTCCCCTTCACCCCCACTGCACCACTGAAACTCCCTCCCCATGAAACCCTTATTGTACATGCTATCTCTATAGGTTCATCAATCCTGGGTTTCATATATTGAAAAATGGGAAAAAGATATAACACAGCTTCAAGCGGGTGACCTCCAAGGACATGACACCGCTGCGATACATCCTAATATGGACAAGCAAAACCCAAACAGAACAATGCAAACCAAAGAAGACAATTTAGGAAACCAGACCAGGTCCTGCAAGCATCATGGGGGTGGGGCTGGGGGAAATCTACTGACACTGTTTTAACTGTTCCGGTCAGATGTATGCCTCTGATCTTCTAGACTCGTCTCTCCAAAGCTCTCCATTTAGTAACCACTTTCATCCCATTCCTGAATTGTTCTCCAGAGGCTTATTTCCTATGTAGTTCCACAAATGTATCTTGGACTTCCACTGTCAACCATAGTTTCTATACACCAGGTTCTCACAATGTAGGCTCTAATACTGGTACCTCCTTCGATTTCAGATTATATGGTTTACCATCCTTTGGTGGCTGGTGATGGTGTACTTCTTTCATATTGGCTTATTTGGCATCTCACATAGATGATTTCTTGATTGGAAAGAATGTCCTAGTTCTGATTTGACTAAGTTTTACAATTTTTCATGATTTTTACTTTTACTTTTAAGAATAATTGTTTTGTTTTTCATAGACATAAAGCATGCTTATATAGCCATGTGTGTTGAGGGCTTCTGAAGTGTATCGTGGGTGTGGCTTGATAAATGTCTAAATCGGTGTAACTGTCATGCCAACAAACTATTGGATTTTCCAAATACTTCCTACATTCTCCATCATAGTCAGTCACCCTCAGACTTAACAGTTATTCTGACTTTTTTCAAGGTCTACATTTTTCTTGCTCTTGAATTTCAAATGAATCATGATGTGTGCTCACATCTGCGTGTATTGAAATGCAAGCCATCACATCCCTGGATTTATCCCAGGTGCCTACTATGTCTCTGCTATTTATCCCAGGTGCCTACTATGTCTTTGCTAGAATAATGTCTTTGTTCAGAACACATGAACATTCTTGATTGTGTCACACACTTCGAATGCTATTGCACAGGATATTTGAACAGGCCATTTCCCCTGATTTCCCTCTATTTATGATTTTCAGTTGGCCCACAAGGTCAGCAGTTTAAAAACACAAGAGACGACTCTGAGGGAGAAAAAGGAGGCATTCTATTCACGTAAAGAATTACAGTCCATGAAATACACGGTGGTAGGTCTACCCTATCATGTCGGGCTAGTGTGAGTTGGAATTGACTTGATGGTACCGAGTTGTTTTTTTATTCCTTACAACATTTTTCATAATTCTACTGAATGTCGTTCTTCAAATGCCTTCTGGTTTACAAAGCCTTAATCAATGTCTCTGAAAATGCTGTCCCCAAAGATCACCCTAGCTCCCCTTTCTTCTCTTTCCTTTGCATTTATAACCATCGAATGCTCTGCTTCACTCTCTGTCAGTTTGCCAAACTGTACTAGCTTGCAAATTGATGAGATGCTAGAATCTATGCCGCCAATATTTCTAATAACACCTTAAATGGAGTGTCAAAAATAGGACAGATCAGAAAAGCCTGGATATTTTCATCTGAAATTATCCCATGAAAATTTTATGAATCACATCATCAGATTATTTCCTGCATTACTAGAAAATGAGCCTTATAAATTAGAAGCCACTATACAATAGCCCTGGTAGGACTGTTGGGTGTGTGTTGATCTGCAAACCATAAGGTTGGTAGTTCAAAACAGCTAGAAGTTCTGCAGCACAAAGATGAGATTATTTCCTCCTATAAATATTTACAACCTTAAAAATCCTTTGTAGGGTCACTATGAGTCAGAATGTACCCGGTGGTCATGGGTACAGAAAGCCACAGCGATCCACTCAAACATCATAAAGATGGTGAAGAATGGGGCAATTGACTTACCCTCCCCCCTGACCAGCTTAAAACTCGCTCTCTACCACAGATAAGCAAGATTTCTCCTGCCCCCCCACCCCCCAATGGGGGCCCTTGGAGTTTCCTTGGGAGTTCAAGGGTCCCTTCTCTTTCTCTTCTTCTCCCATCTCTCTTCTCCCTCCTGGGCAGCGCTGATTCTCTGACTCCCTGCTGGAGTCTGTGAATCTCACCCTGAGAAACGCAGAATAAACTTCCTCTATTTCTTCTCTCTGGCCTAGCTTTGGTTAATCTTTGCGGGGAACTTAATAGAACCTTCAGACCATTTTTCCATAAAGGATTGCTGATACCTTTTGGAAAGTCACATGCATGTTTCTAAATCATTCCCTCCCACCACCAAACCGTTTTATTGAGTGTTAATACAGATATTATAACACTCCATAGTTCAATCACATAAAGCAGTATTGTCCAATTACTTCCACAATCAGTTGCAAAGCATGTTCTTCCTTCTTAATGTCAGCTCCCCTTTACCCTCTTCCCCACTGGACCCACCAGGAACACTTATTCTACTTGCTGTCTCTCCAGGTCCATCAATCCTGGGTTTCATACAATGAAAAGCAGACAAAAACATATAACCAAAATTCAAGAGGGTTGCAACTGCACTCCCTGGCAAGCCAGAGAAAAGTAAATATTCTTGAAAGTATTTCTTTTTTCTTAATAGGCTCTTGGCTCTATATTGTTTACATTTACATTTATTTATTTATTTTTAGACTTAATCAAACAAGACAAAGTTTTGGTAAATTTAGAATGTAAAAGGTCTCCACAAGTGATAGAATGCATAAATAAAGAGACAAAACCAACAAGAAAATTCAGATAACTCTTAAACTATCATCTATAACTTCATTAAAAAGAAACTCCAGTTGTGCAGACATTTAGCATGTGGACACAAGCCTAAAGGTGAGAAGTTAGATTCATCAGCCAGCCAGAGAGAAATAGAAATGGTAGTGTGTTGTAATAATTCAAGACATAGATATCTATGCAGAATTTCTACTGTCCTGTAGGCTCACAATGAGTTGAAATTAATAAGAATAGGTAAAGATTGCTGTAAATATCTTTGTACATTCACTTAGCACCCCACAAATATTATTTCATTTTATCTTCCCAACACCTTGTGACAAAGATAAGGAACTCATTAGTCTAATTTTACAGCTTGGAGTAATTTTGCATACTAATGTGAAAAAAATCACCTCCCCATTTGGTAGATTTTAAAATAACAAAAGTTCTTATATATCGCTTTTGAATAAAATACCAGTTCTAGTTAAACTCCATAATGTATGTATGATATATAGCAATATCTAATAACTTCACAGGCCCTACCTTCTGAGTGTTCCCAAGAAGACATTTTCCTTCAACTGAGTAAAATTGGGAAGGCTTAAATTTCTAGAGAACACCAATCCAACTAAGTATTTCTAAGTCATCTGTGATTTAAATTTGCTATGTCTCCAGGGAAGCGAATCCCTTGTCTTTAATTATGACAGTGTTCGTTATCACTGACTCATTCTTCTAAGCTCTCATATAGAATTAATTCCTTATCTTGAAAATGATTTTTTAAGAGTTGATATGAACATTTATTAGTGATACCAGAGATCCATTTGTTAGTTAAGGAATTTTTAAAAATCATTTTAGTGGAGGCTCATACAACTCTTATCACAATCCATCCATCCATCCATTGTATCAAGCACATTTGTACATTTGTTGCCCTCATCATTCTCAAAACATTTGCTTTCCACTTGAGCCCTTGGTATCAGCTCCTCATTTGGTCCCCTCCCTCCCCGCTCCCCCTTGAAAATCATTTTTAAGAACAAATGAAAGTCTTGTCACCCCTACGAATAATATAAAAGCCTGAAGTTTTAAATATTCTATTTGATAAATTAGTCCTACAACAACTCCATTTTGACTTATTTTCAATTTCATTAACTTCATAAAGTTCACTTGCTGAACAAGCTGTTCGTCACTTCATTTAAACACAAATAAAACACATATCAGACTTGGACTTAATTACCTCATCATACAACTCTGTCAAAGTTCAAATATTTTACC